AGAGTCAGGAGCAACGGGAGGGTCGGTGGCGTCTGTAGTGAAGAAATTACTTATAAAACATAGCTAAAGCCTTTTTGCTGCAACCTTAGACAACAAGCGTTAGTTATAAAGTTAAAAATAATAGGTCAAATATCTCTGCCAAAATAGTACAACATAAACATTGTTGCTTTTAAAAACATTTTTGGTAAATAACCAAAAAATATTAAGCCCATTCACCCCATATAACCTTATCACTTAAAATTCAAAGTTATGAAAAAATAACTCATACTCTTAACTACCACACATTGATCAAAACATAAATCACAAACCTTGAACGTCGCTCATGGTTATTACCGAAAACAACGTCTGCGTCAACAAGAAGGTACAGCCTGAGTAAGGAAGTAGAGTGCTCTGCCAACTGCTGGTCGACTCCTGCCCCAAGTAACCTTGTGTGAAGCCTCGAGGCAGCCACCGAACCATTCCCATGTGATTCGTAAAGCAATAAAACAATTTTTGCTTATAATATCTTCATAATTATTGGATGCTTTCATCTGATAATTACCTTACCTGGCCAAGAGTTCATATCACTTAAGATGTTCACCTAATAACACAGACAGTATATACATTTGAAGAAATATATAAATGGGTTTTGGCTTTCGGTATGAAACACTCTCAGTGAATCTTCAAACTGCCGTCAGCAAAACCAAGCAAACTACCCAAGTGCATTTACTTTTTACGAATCACTTGGGAGTCGTTCGACATCTACTTCGAAACTTCAGACGTTTACTTGGGGAAGAGCCGGTCAGGAACTGACAGATGACCTGGTTTTTTTCTCGTGAGCGTGTTCGTCTTCTGTTCCGGATATTAATTTTCTCAGAGTAATACTTGGGACAATGTGGGAGGAACACGAACGTTAGTTGTGCATTTTATTTGTATTTCATTTGTTATAGTTTCCATGCTTGCTGACGTTAGTTACTTAAGAATGTACGTGGTATTATATATAACTTTCAGTCCAGCTTATTTGGACTTTTCAAGTCTTAATCTTTTTTTTTTTTTAATTTTTAAGCGTTAAGGTTAACCTTATTACGTTCGCAATAAAGTGTAATTTATCAAAACCTGTTATTAGTGTTGGGATGGAAAAATATTTACGCCTGTATATTTATAGAAAGATTTTAATGTTAGTATCCGACCATTATTTTACAGTAGAAGAAATCCCTTCTGTAGCAGAACGCAGAGCTGCATATGGCCGTTGTAAGTATACGTTGCTAGTTTGTCTCTCCAATTTTACTCTTTACTTTTAACCTGTGAACTAATAAACCTTTTGACTTCCAGCAAAGGACTGCCAGCTTCTTTCTGGCGCTTTCCCAGATGCTAAACCCATTCAGCTACAACCTCCAGTACAGGTTACCAGACCCCTCTATTACCGTCCTATTGGTGATGAACCCGTTAATGAATATGCAGGTGCACTTCTTCCTGATAACTACTCAAATGCTGAAGCCTACGTTTCTGCCAAAGATTTATACTCTGGTCGTCGTAATGCAGCTGGTGGAGCTATCTTGGCTGCTGTAGACTCTGATGCTGCTGCCACCGCCCCAGTTCCTAAGACGGGAACATGCCCGAATTGCAAGGCAAGGTTCTTAGCCAAGTTTAACATAATAAATTCTAATACTTGTACTGAAAATCCTTCTTGGGTATCTATTTAAGCTAGTGTTCAAATTAAACAAATTTTAATTTTGCCATAATGCTAAATGACTGTCTTAATATCTTAATCTTTTTCTAGATAGGTAACGTGTCCCGGAGCTTCAAAATGTGCGGCCTGCTGTCCCTGTGCTGGAAGCCTGAGAGATGTCGGGTGTGTGGCCACGTCATCACCAGCGAAGAGTAGCCAGCGCTTAGACTAGTTACCTACCAAAACCCTGCGGAAGATGCCTTGTATACATAGATATACATGGGTATACTTAGGGACCCACGGGGAGAAAAAACAAAATTGCGTAATTTTTTAATGGTGCCGAGGAACGCCTTGATTTGCTTGGCTCTTTTAGCCTAGCGGGTGGAGACAATAACAGCATGTTGGGATTTTTATTTTTTTAATGCCTATCTATAGGTTATGACTAAGACTTTAGTTGATTACTTTTATTTTTGTGGCTGGACAGATCTCTAAAAGTACCATTAAATTTTTACTCTAACCTGTCTTTTTTACTAATGCCATTGGTCGAAATGTACCTAGAGTTAACTCCTGAAATGTTTAGGGCAATTTTTGTCGATGTTTCCTTCGATGAATGCATTTAAATAGATATTCTTGAGTGTTGAAACTCTGATAAAGGTTAACGGGTATATAACAGAGCAGACCTTAATAGCGGTATGGGTCTGACTGCCTGCTGCAGTCGCCCTAGTCTCTAATGGGCTTTCATCAGCCAGGTGTGAACAGGGGAGGAAGCAAGAGACTGGGGGCCAAGAGGTTTATGCTCAATGTGATGGTACAAAAGTGTTAAGCCGATTTTTCTTGCAAGGAAATTATTCCCCAATGTGCATCCCTCTAGTCGTAGATGGGGGAGGCGGGGAGGGACTGGGTAAGTTGAAAATTATGGTCGGACTATCTGATGGCTTTAGAGGGATCACTAACCCGACTAGACTGTTGCAGGGCAGTGAAAAATTTGGCTGGTTAGTGTGCAGCATTTTACCTGGAAGATAGTCTCACCGAGGCAGTCTTCTCTTCTGATGCTCTGGCTGTTGGAACCTGACCTTGTATTTTTGTACCACTCTTGTATCCTTGACAGTGGATGTTGTCCCACTGTGGTAACCAGCGTCCCTGTGCCACTCCTTACTTACCGAGTCTTAACCTTCTGAGCTTCTTTACCGTGTCCTATTTTAGCTTGCTAAAGTCAAATTTTTCATCGTACCATAAATGTTTACTAAGGAATGTTGCAGTACATATGATAAACACATTCAGTCCTAACCAGTCTCCTGTAGATTCCATCCAGTTTTGGCGAGGCCATGGTTTGGTCCTCCAGACAGGTGGAATAATACCAGTTTAGTCTCATTGTTCCATACTGTTTCGCCAGGACGCTAAAATTGCCGGGCAATAAAGCTACTTTACACAAAGATCACACTAACGTGATGCATCAAGTAAAGCCACTTCTCGGGTCCATTGTTCCCTTTACCGTAACATTTAAGTCATAGTAATAAAGAACTAAATAACCATGCCAGCGTCCTTTAATCTTGCCAGTAAGGTGTTACTGGATTAAGCAGGGGCTTATTTATTTTTTTAATGCCTAAAGTCTGAAGAGACCCCCTAATGTTTACTCCAGCAGGACAGTTCTTGCAGCATGTCTGCTCCTTAAACTTCAGAACCTGGAAATAATTCTGGACCCAGACTCAAGTTCAACCTCTGCAGTGACTTCTTCTGTCCTGGATTAATTACTTCCCAGACTACTTCCCCTTTCCTGTGAGCTCCTCTGGTTACAGGAAAGATAGGGAGGGGGGGGGGCTGACGGTCTGGACACTGACCGTTGAAGGAAAGGTGGACAACTGCCTCATCTCCATAAGGGTGCCATTAAGAAAAGCACAAAGCGAGCGATAAAAGGTTCGAATTCTATCAAAGGATAATTTACCTTTAGGGACTTGGATACAATCGTCTTGAGAAGCAGACTATCTTACCTTGCTTTCGTCAAAGTTCCACGATTAAGTGCTATAATGCAATTTTGTCCAAAGGTTATGGCGGGGTTTCAAAGTGCCCACGAGTTGAGCTTTACCGAGTTTCACCACAGTCTTACCATGGGAGGAGGAAGGCTAAAGGAATAGGTTACCTTTCACAGTGCCGTTACCTTAACCCTGACTGCCAGATGTCAGGAATGACATTCCTATATTCAGATTACTACCCAGTTAGCCTGGGGGTCAGGCGGCAGATACAGGTTTGGTCAGTGAAGAAAACGCCTGAAGACTTCAACCATTTGTCCTAAAGAGAAAGTAGTTGCATGACAGGATGCAAGTTAAAGCTGTTACCATGTGAATAAGCTGACAAACCATTGCAAGTTCCACCCTCTATGGTGACAGGGTTTGAGCAAGAAGACCAAGTGAACCTAGAGTGAATCTTTCAAGAGACCTCTTACAGGTAATGCGACGAAAGGGAACAGGAACTACCCCCTCGTAATCTTCAAAGCATGACAAGCTAGATTTTGCAGAAATCATGAGAGCTCCGCAAAGGCAGTAACAATCCTATAGACAGTACACCAGTTTCAACGTTTCAAGCAATTGGTAGGAGACAAGCGAAGAGGCACTAGCAGAGGCGTATCTCAGTATGGTACTTATACAAAAATCTAGAATTAATAAACTTGCCTTAAAATGTAAATTTACCGAGTGGAAAAAGTTGATAAATGAAGGCCGAATTAATGCTTACTAGGGAGCGCTTGCCATCACCCTGCCATCAGATACACGAACGGGGTAGACTATAGTGTAATTAGTGCAGCCTAGTAATGCGGACTTCCGCATGACGTCGCACGAGCTTATTAGGTTCGACCAAAAGGATGCGCACACAAGGTCCCGTGTGAAGCCACCTGGATGGTTGCAATTTGAAAATTACTAGCAACTCCTTAAAGTAAGTAATTATAAAAAAAAAGGCACCAAACCGGGAAGGCTATGTAGCACCATCAATTGTGCAGAATAATCTCAGAGCGCTAAATATCACGAAGGATAGCAAATCCTTAAAGACTGGTTTTACTGGCCACCCCCCCCCCCCCTAGCAGCAGCAGGATAGGATTCTTCAGTGCGGGGAGTACTGATCAATTGTTCCCTGTCAAAGACGTAATGGAAAGAGCTTCCTTAGAGATCCTCCGTAGACATTTGATATGAAACCTTAACTAATAGATTCATAGGTTCTTTGCATTCCATTTGTATTAAAGGGCCGAAATCTAGAGATACTTAAATTTCAAATAAACTTTTCATTATATTATAAACATTAAAGCTTTGTGCCATGCTTTTAGGTGTTCGCATTAGCGTTCGGGAATAGAAAAAAAAATGCATGATAAATTTTAATAAAGTATATTAGAAATCTACTTACACCAAAATAAGTCTAAAAAGTTTAAAAATTTTGTCAAGGGCTGGTAGTATCCAGCATTAAATTTCGCATTCTAAAATACTGTCAATTAAAATTCATTTTATTTTTTTCTCCCCTCGGGTCCCTATGGGCCCCATGAAGTAAATATTACTTCATTTGGGAAGCCACCCTCGGGTCAGTCCAGGTCCACTACTGAACGGGAGCCACGTATTCACATACGGGACAGCGTTGCTCCTGGCTGAAGCAGCAGTCTAGCAGGCAGTCCGGCAAGAGCAGAAGAACCGAACACCTGCGCCACAGGTTGTAGTCCCGGGACAAGTCCCCAACCTAAGAAAATTATTGCAGCGAGATTAGGAACAGTATATAAAAAATCTTTAGGTAGTAGTAAAGACTAATATTGTTGAAAACCAGAAAGCATATTTAACGAGGCTTCGGAAAAACCTTCATAGCCTACCATTACAGGTAGGCATAGTGAAGAATCTCACCTTACAACTAGGACAAGTCCCTCTCTTAGGGAGGTGGTAGAGGGGGATGGAGTGCCCCTCCCTTTGAGTCTCACGCCTCGGGACATGGCCAGAGCCAGGAGCAGCGGGAGGGTTGGTGGTGGCGTCTATAGAAAAAGATTAAGCGTATGAAACATGGCTACAACCTTTGATAAACAGTGATAAAGTTAATAGGTCCTAAAGTATTACTGCCAAACTAGTATAATGTTAAAAATTTTTAACTTCAAAAGTTTTTTGGCAAGGAACCAAAACAAAAGAGTAAACACATTTACCCCATAAAACCTTAACACTTAAAAAAAAATTTAAGTTTGAAAATTTACAAATTTGTAAACTTTTAGCTACCACACATTAGTCAAAACATAAATCACAAACCTTGAACGTCGCTCATGGTTATTGCCGAAAACGACGTCTGCGTCAATAAGAAGGTACAGCCTGAGTAAGGAAGTAGAGTGCTCTGCCAACTGCTGGTCGACTCCTGCCCCAAGTAACCTTGTGTGAAGCCTCGAGGCAGCCACCGAACCATTCCCATGTGATTCGTAAAGCAATAAATCAATCTTTGCTTATAATATCTTCATAATTGTTGGATGCTTTCATCTGATAATTATCGTACCTGGCCCCGAGTTCATACATATCATGATGTTCACTTAATAATATAGGCAGTATATTCATTTGATGAAAAATATATCTGTGGTTTGGCTTTCAGTATGAAACTCTCAGAGAATCTTTAAACTGCAGTCAACAAAAGGAGCCAACTGCCCAAGTGTATTAACTGTTTTACGAATCATTCGGGAATGTTGTTGTTATAGATTCAGCTACTCGGAACAAGTTCCGAGTAGCACGGGCTATGGTGGGCCCGTAGTGAGCTTACCTGGCACAGGAGCTGGCCATTTGGGAATGGTGGCACGGCTTCTTTTGTTGCCGGACCCCTCACCAGGAGAGAGACGCTTGCCCAAACTGCAGGGGTAAGCCTCCTGGTTATCTTATTAAAGTTATGCCGCACTTTCAAATGCAAATCCCACAAATGTTTCTATTATTACTATTTGCAAATGTCTTTTTAAAGATTTACATTTTAAATAAAGTTTAAAAAGTTCTTTATCCACGTAAAAGTTAATTACCGTCATCGTATCCCTTGATGGATGACCTGACACGCGGATGTGACATGTGCCGTGTGCTGGCCCTGTGCAGGAGGCCAGAGATGAGGTGTCGTGTGCGGCTACGTGGCCTCCTAGGCCGGGCTGAGCCCCTGGTGGAGACCCGGAGGAGGTAACCCTCGGGGGGACCCTCAGGTTGCCGAAATATTCGAAATTTAATGATGTTAAGGAACGCTTTAAATTTAAAGCTTCAATTTTAGTCTATAGTATGAAGAAGATAACTGCGAACATCTCCCCATTTTAAATGCCTATTGCGAAAGTTCTTATGATTTTTTATCATATCTATAACCTCTATAACCTTCTTATAAAGGTTCCTATGATTTTTTTTAGACTTTAGTTTCCAATACTTTTAGTCTACAAGCTTGGTAGTTCCCAACTGAACCATTAAATTTTATTGAATAACTTCGTAAACTGTTTCAGTAAACAAAACTGTTTCCAGTTTGGATTCTCATACAAAAATATAAGATTTTTTATACAATTGTTTAGCAGCATTGTACTAAATTTTGCGTAGAAGGTGTCAGTAAAACTGCAGTAAATGTTGTACGTATATTATCAAATCTATACATAACGGACCCATATTGTTTACATCTTAAAATCTAAAGCGTCAAAAAAAAAACCTTTTAGGAATAATTGTAAAGATTGTGCGTGTCTTGGAACCCAACCGAGACCGCGTGGTGCTGACGGGGACCTTCAAGGATATCCTGGATGTATTGCATCCCTTAATCCTTGTTCCTTCATCCTTGTCATATAAGTAAGTAAGTAAGTAATTATCAAAAGAAGGCACCAAACCGGGAAGGCTATGTAGCACCATCAAATACGCAAAATAATCAGAGGGCGCTAAATATCACCAAGGATGCCAATACGAGAACAAAAACGCATAAGGCGAACGATATCGAAAGTATCCGAGTCACCAAGAATTCTATCGAGGGACAGGTGACCGCGAGGGGCGGTCGGAAAGCAAGACACACGCTCGTCCTGGAAGTCAGGACATTCAAGAAGGACATGCACGACCGTAAGAGGGACAATGCAACTAGGACAATAAGGAGCAGGGCGGCGCTCCATCAAGTGACCATGGGTTAAGCGAGTATGGCCAATACGCAACCTCGCTAGAGCTGTTTCCCATCGCCGGTTACGGTGGAAGGAGGACGGCCACGAGGAAACACAACATTTAAGAGTACGTAGCTTGTTACCAGTAACAGACAACCAAGAAGCCTGCCAACGGGTAAGGACTGAGGAATGGATAACCGGGTAAAAGTCGGAATACGGAATGCCTTTACGAGAGATGGGACAAGAGCGGACAGCTTCCTTAGCGGCAGCATCCGCACGCTCATTTAAAGACACGCCAATATGGCTGGGAACCCAACAAAACTCAACCGACTTAAATTTACTGTGAACGAGAAACAGCCAATGCTGGATCTCGACAACTACCGGATGAACTGGATTAAAGCACCCGAGAGCCATGAGGGCACTACGAGAGTCAACAACAACCACAAAGGAAGACTGACAACGAGAAAGCAGGAGACGAAGAGCATAGAGAATAGCATAAAGTTCCGCTGTAAAGATGCTAGTCTCCGGAGGCAAGCGACACATATAAGTGTGATCAGGAAAAACAACAGAGTAGCCAACACCGTCCGCTGACTTAGACCCATCGGTGAAGACAGAAACGGAGCGGGAGTGAGAAGAAAAGTGCTCGAGGAAAAGGCGTTTTAGAACTGTAGGAGGGGTAAAAGCTTTAGTGATACGAGTCAAGGATGTACAAAGCCGCGGAAGAGGGACCCTCCACGGGGGCAAAGAAGGAACAACCCTTGTCATATAAGATTCAGTCCAGAATAACGTGGGTATTAACATTACATACCCATACATAGGGAGTCGAGCGGACAGCACGCTGGACTTGTGATCCTGTGGTCCTGGGCTCGATCCCAGGCGCCGGCGAAAAACAATGGGCAGAGTTTCTTTCACCCTATGCCCCTGTTACCTAGCAGTAAAATAGGTACCTGGGTGTTAGTCAGCTGTCACGGTCTGCTTCCTGGGGGTGGAGGCCTGGTCGAGGACCGGGCCGCGGGGACACTAAAGCCCCGAAATCATCTCAAGATAACCTCAAGATGCTATTGTGGATTTCATTATATAATATACATAAATAACGATATACAAGAGGTGCAGTATATTACATGCAGGAGGCGATGTGCTTCTGAAAGCTACAAATGTTGTAGCATACAAACTATATATATATATATATATATTGAAGTATATACGATCATTATGGATTTGTACTAGAAATATATAACTTTTAAAATATTTTACAAATGTTTCACATCTTACACTGCTAGTGGCAATTCACGGGATTTGGTAACTTGCTTTTGACAATAACAAGCGGCAAATACCCTACCAACCACTGTATAAATATTTATTATATATATATACATTTGATGTGGTGCCAGGGTCGACCCAAACAAATACTACACTATAAGTGTTGGGAGCCCTAGAATGCAAATCTGCCTCATTTTCATCAGGTCCATGCAACGGGGCCGACCCCGACCACTTAGAAAATATCCAAATACCCTCATCCGTCACCCAGAAAGGTTTAGTTAGATTTAGCGGAAACCCGTGGCTCTGTGTTCTCCACAAGTTTGACCATGGATACCGATGTGTGGTGGACCCCAAAATGTGCCATTAAAGTGTTGGGCTCCCCAGATTGTACATCTCTCATCAGAACACGCGGTTTGGCACGTCTTCAAGGGCCGCATGATGGTCAACCCCGATGCCCTTCTAGAGGGAGCATGGGTACTGACCCTGACCCCCAATATGACCGTCCCCAACACCCACCAGTCACCCTGCAATATTAGGCGAAGCTTGACCACCAAGTATCCCCTCTCCAACCTTGGACAGACATCCTCATTTAGAGAAATTATTCCACGCTGATGTGAAATATGAAACACATAATTGAATTAATTATCAAAAGAAGGCTCGAAGCCGGGGAGACTATGTAGTATCACACAACTGAAGAAGTGTGTAGTGAAGACGTGTCGACCAGTAGCGCCGCGAGGGTCTCAGGAGCATGGGTTACAGAACCAGCAGATGGAGGACTTCATTAATGTAACTCCCCCCTCCCCCGTGTAAGCTGGGTACCCGCAGGGATGTCAAAGGTCGCTGGGGTGGGGTGGGGAGGATGGCATGCAGACGGGAATTGACAAAATTGTCACAGGTAACTAGACAACATGTAGGTGTTGTGGACGGAGTGCCGCCAGGAGTGCCACAGGTCGTCAGGCAGTGAGAATTGTTCAGCAAGAACACCCCCCAGCCGCGCCTCTCCTATTTGACTCCACAATACAATCCTAACTTAAGTCCCCTCGCATGACTATCATGTCTTGCCAGCAAGTCATGAATATAAGCTACTCTTTACTAAATATCTAACTAGCTAACTCTTCTCCGACTTAAGTAACTATCAAAAGAAGGCACCAAGCCGGGTTCTCCTACTCAAGCCAAGGAGCTCATGTGATGAGCACCGTGTACCTTCTTCCACTGACCTCTCCCCCCAGCACGAGGCGTCATGATGAATACTGGCACGCACTGGTGTGTGTGGCTGACCTCTCCACGTAATCAAACGTTGGTAAAGCAAATGTGTTGCCAAACAATAGATGCATAAATGACGAAGCTGATATCAATGCTTCTATATACGACAATATTATAAATTTTCCCGTTGGCCTTAATTATTTTCATCATATTTGATATCATTGTTTTCATTGTTCAGACTGGCTCTCTACCAGGACCGGTCAGGTTACCAGTACCTTCATCGCCACTGTAGTTTTAGTACTTCATGGGACCCGTTGTATTATGAGGTCGTTAACGGAATCCGCAAAGGAGGGGCAATAGGCCGCTCCTTCCTCCCGGGGGACACTGCTAGCTCCTAGTGTCAGGCCTACAACCTCAGTCACCTCTTATAGATCAGTTCTTAATAGTACAATTACAAAATAAGATGAGTGGGTGTAGCAGTGGGGCTGTGTAGTATCAGTTTAGTTATACAATATATCACAGAAGCTCACCTCAATGCACTTACACTTATTACACAAAAAGTACACCTAAAACTATCTCAGATTATACACTTGCACTCATTACACATGTCACACACTAAGACTTGCCAGTATATTACACAGTCACTCAATCCTAATTTAACACGAAGACTTAGTACACCTGATCCATATCCAAGACACTGACACACACACTCATTAATCTATATAAATAAAAATGTAAATGTTCGCTTGCTCAAAATCGCTAGCCCCTCTCAAATACTTAGCAATTGGTTTTCTGCAGTTGCAACATTACAGCACATAATGCTTTAATGAACAACTGTAGCTCATCACTTAACTATTGATTACGTCTGCCATGAGGTAAAAGTCTAACAATTTAGTTAAAATCCAAAGATTTGGCATGGCTTCTCCATTACGCTCTACGCCTGTGATGTTACCAGCAATATCACTGAGCTCGGCCATCCTCTCTCTGATCAGGAGAAAAGTGGGAACTCTGGAAATTTTAAAACGAAGTCTCCCTCCCCCCGATGGAGTTATCAAAAACAGGCAGCACTAGAGCGACGAGGTTGGCACTGTGGGGACGAGGCTGGCACTGTGGGGACGAGGCTGGCACTGTGTGGGACGAGGCTGGCACTGTGGGGGACGAGGCTGGCACTGTGGGGGACGAGGCTGGCACTGTGTGGGACGAGGCTGGCACTGTATGACGAGGCTGGCACTGTATGACGAGGCAGGCACTGTATGACGAGGCTGGCACTGTGGGGGACGAGGCTGGCACTGTGGGGACGAGGCTGGCACTGTGGGGACGAGGCTGGCACTGTATGGGACGAGGCTGGCACTGTGGGACGAGGCTGGCACTGTATGACGAGGCTGGCACTGTATGACGAGGCTGGCACTGTGGGGGACGAGGCTAGCACTGTGGGGGACGAGGCTGGCACTGTGTGGGACGAGGCTAGCACTGTATGACGAGGCTGGCACTGTGGGGGACGAGGCTGGCACTAGGGGACGAGGCTGGCACTGTGTGGGACGAGACTGGCACTGTGGGACGAGGCTGGCACCGTATGACGAGGCTGGCACTGTACGACGAGGCCGGCACTGTGTGGGACGAGGCTAGCACTGTACGACGAGGCTGGCACTGTATGACGAGGCTAGCACTGTGGGGGACGACCGTGCAGCAGACACCAGCAGCAGCAGACACATCTACGACTAGGTGATCCTCCAGCGCATGAGCGCGGCGTCAGTGCCTCCTATGGTGTACAGGTAGTTGTCGGTGTGGGAGAACCTCACCGACGACACGTACGAGGTGTACACCTTGTACTCCTGGTAGCCAGCTTTCGTGCTGAGCACCGGGTACCTGGCGATGAAACCACAGGTAATTATAAATCACAGAAACATACGCATAAGGATACATAAGTATTTGTAATCAGAGGCACGTGATGATAAGGGTACACATATAGTTACAGTTATACATACCTCGGGATAAATGGACACATAACTGTATTCAGATACAAGCGGCTGTAAGGAGACATGATATGACTTTGTAGCCAACTGAAACTGACGACTGGGAGGACACTAATGATTGATCACAGGTGTCACAAATGTCAAGGAAGATGGCGAGTTAAGGCAAGCTGCCTCCCCCTACATGTATCAGTCTGGGAAAGGAATGGCGGCTTTCACACCGCAGTCTACACTACTGGAACTAACATAGTGATCCACCACAGTATAGAGAAAAGACCTATCAGGATACAGCGTTAAGCCAGTACGACTATTTAGCACTTGGAAGGGGTCAGGATAAGGATTAGGGATGGTACGGGGAAGAAAAGAATGGTGCACAATCACTTGAACGGTCGTGGATTGAACACCGACCTGCATGAAGCGAGACCGTCGTTCTACCGTCTATCCCAAGTGGTTGGGCGGACCTCAGTATAGTAACTGCCCTGGCAGGGACTAGCGTAGTGTCGTCAACGCCTATAAGCTTCCCGCGCTCTCTCACACACGGGTTGACCAGGATGTAGTAGAGAAAGGCAGGTAGGTCCTAGTCACTAACGAATACTATAACGGATATATATCGAGGATATTAAAAAATATGGTGAACTTTCATGCTACCTCTGAATAAATGGTCAACACTACAGTATTTGTAGCACCTATTAGACTATTCTACACGAACTTCTTTTGCACCGCTCACAAAGTGGAGGAATGAGTCGTGAAATACATTATTGATACAAATGTGTCCCCCCTCCCTCCCCTCTAACGCCTCCAAGTGGATGATAGCGTCGACACTCTACTACAAGAACAAGAAGACCTCCAACTTCCTCATGAAAACTCTCCCGACACCAAGCGGGAAGCCTTGAAAGAGACACGTGTTGTTTATGCATTCACGTATTCACTTGCGGACTGTCAGCCCCAACGATCTCAATATTCACACAACCAGTGGAGTGAATACAACTGCCTTCACTCCACTTCTGCCTTTGAGAAAGATGACAGGATCAACGAAGCAAAAATAAACTTATAAAACAGCTGAGCCTGAAACACCTGAACCTGATACGCCTTAGCACGATACACGTGAGCATGATATACCCGAATATGCTACACGTAAGCATGATATAATAAGAGGCAGGGGTTATACCTATAGAGACATTTGTTCATACCTGTAGAGCTTGATGTAGCCGTCAGAGTCTCCGACAGCCAGTACGTCCCCCCGGGGGCCACGGTCCACTGTGACCTGGGTAGCTGCCTCCTTACTCCCGCTCCATATACCTGTGGACACACCCTACGTCAGTAGTGCTCGCCCTCTAGGTAAGAATGTATTCAAGGAAAGCAAATAATTTGGCGGACAGTAGCATCATAGTTATTGGCCTACAGTTATTGGTCTACTATCATTACGGATCTTTAATTATGAGAAGCACAATTCTATGAACAATGTTATGAGACTATCAGTATTAGTACCCGTCTGGTCTGTTGTGTACATCAGTATCAAACTATTACATGCTGTTATTTTTAGCTGGTCAACAGCGCGACTCTCTAATGTCGTCTCATTAGGCGCTGGACTTATGAGGAAGTACCGAGTAAAGACTAAGTAACAGTAAGACACGGAGAGTCTTACCAGTACCAAGTGAGGACAAGGTAAAGACACAGGGGGTCTTACCGTGCACCATGAAGCCCAGGGGACAGGTCTGCGTCGCCCACGTCTCGTTCCGCACCTCCTGGGTGTTCTTGACCCTGGTCAGCTCAGCCAGGCTCCCTGCTCGTCCACCCAGTGTCACCACAGTAGCCTCCAGGCGGAGGCATCGGAGGGCGTGGAGGTACAACAGTTAGAATAGTGATGCAGGAGTTAGAATAGTGATGCAGGAGTTAGAATAGTGATGCAGATCCCTAAGCAATTTTGCAGTAGTTCCTAATGCTAGTGCCAATGCCATTTTAGAGTCTCTGTACGATGATAATCAACTCTGGGTTAGTATTGTTATATGGAACAAAAATTTAATCATCAAGAGCAAATGCGACGTCAGCGGTGTTGGAGCGGACACCAGGAGCCGAACGTCCTGCTGGCCACAGAAGGGCAACAACAACAACACACACACACACACACGACTCACAAAATATAACGTCGTATTCAGTGGAGACGCTCTGAAGATAGCGCCCCGAGGTACTCCAGTCGACCGCAGAGAGCGGCTGGGTGCCCGTCATCTTCCCGCAGCGGGTGTACACGAAGCCGTCCTTGGTGCTCCTGTACAGGTACACAGAGCCGTTCTGCGACCCCACCGCCAGCAGCTCCCCGCCTGCACACACACACAACACCTTACTCCTTCCACCCACTAGAGGCTACACTATATTAAATATTATTTACCCTCGACTGGAATCGTCAGTTTTATTGCAACTTTCTCTACAGTGCGAGAAATAGCCTTAAGAATAACTATATATTAATGATCTATTTCTGCTTATAGTTTCCTTTCCATATTAAAATAGAGTGAAATGAACTCCTCATTGTCGAAAATATTAAAAATATTAAATATTAACCATTATTAATATTATTACTACAAATACAAATAACAATGATAAAATAATAACAATAAACTATAGTAATATTATATCAATGATAAAAACAGATGGCGTCATTAGGAGGAATCGAACCAGCACCATAGGTACTTCCAAGCACACGCCTTAAACCACTGGACCACGATAAGTACTGTAACCTGGGATTCAACTGAATCCACAATGGGTCGTGATACCATATAAAGGTTTTACACAGTACCCGCGTGCACTGGTGTGGTAAAGGAGTGCTTCCCTCCTACGCTCAGGGTGCAGGTTCGAATCCTCCAAATGGCACCAACTGCTTCTCTCATTGATACATGGCGTTAATGTGATTATGCAATATTATTATTATTATTATTAAGGTAGAAGGAGAGCTGGGGTGACTGACCAGGGTTGTACGCCAGACAGGATATCGGGGAGCCACAGACCCGGAGGGTGGTGACGTGCTGGCCAGTGAGACCGTTCACCACCACCAAGTGACCGTCGATGGTGCCTGCTGATATCCTGGTGCCCTGGGGATGCACCGCCACGCTCACACACTCGCTCTGGGCCTGCGGTCACACACATACACATGAACAACAGTGTAGGTACATACAAGTGTTGGAAAATATGTTTGCAAGTTATTCACCTTACAGAATTTGATCAAATGTGATGCATTATAACAAGCGGGAGACGCCACATTGCTGCTTGCGTGTCCCTCTACTTAGACAGATAGACACACACACCTGAATGCGCCATTCCAGTTGGAAGTCTCTCCATTTAATGATGTTTTTGTCGTAGCCGGCGGTGGCGACGGTGCCATCCATGTGGTTCACTGCCAGCCCCCACAGCTGCTTGCTGTGTCCAAACACCACCTGTCGGCATGTATAATGACAACCCATGTCGGGAACTGGAATCATATACTCAGGCTAACTGAAGTCTACTCGTGTCCCCGTCCTTCCTCTAGGTCAACTACTGACCTTACCTAAGTTACAACCCACAACAGTCGACTAACTCCCAGGTGCCCATTTACTGCAAAGTGGACAGGAGCATCAGGTGTAGGGGAATATACCCAAACGTTTGGTACTGTCCTGGATACGAATCCGGGACCTTTTGTTTTTAAGCAGATCACACTAACCTCTACAGGTTAAATCACTACTTCCCCCAAGCAATACATGTGGATGACATATTTGGATGAATCACTAAATACCCGAAAGTACAATGAATAATATGCATGCAAGAAGTGGATGAATCACTATTTTCTCTCATGGAATACTGCTGGATGATGTACTTTGGTAAATCCCAACTTTCCCAGTTGGGATTTACCAAAGGATTGGGATTTTACCAGATATTTGTTGGTAATACAATTTTGGGGGGAATTTTACCAGATATTTCATCTGCTTGCCAATTGGCAAGCAGATGAAATATCTGGATGAACAAGGTACCTGGTTGAAGCGTCGTTGTAGAGAGCCCTCCAGGATCATGTTCTTGGTGGTCCCGACGTAGATGTTACCGTCGTGGTGGCCCGGCCGCTGAGGGTACAGGGTCCTGATGCCCCCTGCTTGATCCGGTAGCTGACGGTGGGGAGAGGAGGAAAAGAACACGTTATGTGTGGAGTCTTAAGGTGTGATAGGATTGGCTTGGTGTTGGCTGATGGCTTGCCACCCCTCTGGAGGGTTATGAAGCCCCACTACAATACCTTACTGACTACACACCAAGTGTACTTTAGTCCAGAACATGAAGGCTAGAGTCAACTCAAAGTGTGGAAACACTGAGAAGTGAAGTATACCTCACTGGGTGTATACACCCTAAGATGTGCTAGAAGGAAGAAAGAAGTGTCAGGTAGGGGAGGGGGTATGAAATGACGAGGAGTGGATGTTTCTCTCAGGAATGTAAACAGAGATTAAATTGACAAGTAATGGAAGCATGTGGGTTTAGAAGAGTTGTGTGTGGTAAAGCCTTGCCGAGAAACTGTTCACATTTCGGCAACCCTTGTGGTGTAACAATTATCATTCTAGCATTAACTGCCTGATACCTTTTCATTCAGAAGTGATATTATAGATATAATATATTGGCAGCCGTCAATGCTTGCCATAGATGCATGTCAACAAAAGCCACGTATCGAGGAGTCTTCGATCTGGCATATCGATATATATCCACGTATCCGAGCTGGCCAAGAACCCACCTTTGTCTCTGTGATCTTCTCGAAGTCCTCCTCACAATCCCACGCGATGATCCTCCGGTCCTTGTCGCCGCCCGAGAGCACAGTTCCTTCGCTCAGTAGCTTAAGGCTGTTGATGGCGCTCTTGTGGGCCTGCGAGACGCGCAGAGAACACGATTAGATAAGGAAATAATCAAGGAAGAAGGCGGGAGAGGAAAGGTGAAGAAAAGACGAAGTGAAAACAGAGGATCGTGAAGAAGGAGCAAGCGGCAGGTAGGAGAGCGAAAAAGACGCAGATAAGTAGAACATGGGTGCATAGAGAACCAAAATAAATAGAAAGTGGTACATAGACAGCAACAACAACAAACTGAAGATTAGTTTTATTTAATATCTGACCTGGAACTCTTTCTTGACGAAGTAGTCTCCTTCGGCGTCGACGCTCCAGACGGTGAGGACGCCTTCGTGGTCCCCGGTGATGAGGTCGCCTGATGGAGTGAACTCCAGCGTAGTTATCGTCCTGCCAGAGCTCTCCTGCGGGCGCCACACGAGTTTCATGTCAAAATATGGCAACAAAGACTCGACATATATCACCAGCCACCATTAATGCAAGTCCCTTGGCCAACACCCATGTCCTGGCCTGCCCCCATGTCCCCGGTCTTCATCCAGACCTTCACCCACTTATTCGGCCTCTACTCATATCCTCGGCTTCTCTCTCTCGCCCACGAAGAGGAGTGATTTTTTTGTATATGTTTTAGATAAAACTTTCCCGGTGCGATCTTGGCCTCCCCCGTAAACCTACTTACGGGGGCGGCCAATTGGCTCCCCAGCACGTCCCTGTCCTCTCCAGCATGCCCCCGGCCTGCCCCAGCATGCCCCCTGGTCTCCCCCTGCACGTCCCCAGCCTCACCTGGACAAGGTCGGAGCGTATGAAGATGCCATCCTTCCTCCTGGCCCAGAGAGAGAGGATACCCCGTCCGTAGGTGACGATCAGATTGTTGTCGAACGGGTGGAAGGCGGCACCGAACACGTGGTCTTGGTGAGTCTGTAACACAACACCACATCACTGACGCGTGTGTGTGTGTGTGTTCACCTATTTGTGCCTGCAGGATCGAGCAGTAACTCTTGGACCACGGCTTTCTAACCTCCGGTTGTCTTGTGCAAAGACTCCTGACTTATTTCCCTATCACATATGTGTTGAAATGATAAATGTTGTTCGCTTCCACAACCTGCCCATTGAGTTCATTCCATTTTCCCACTACTCTTACGGTAAATTAAAAGTTTTTGATATCTTTATGACTCGTCCCAGTCTCAAGCTTCCATCCATGTCCTCTTGTACTATTGCTGTTCTTTGAGAACATTTCCGCTTTTTCCACTATCAATCCCCTTAAGTATTTAATGTCTCTATCATGTCTTCCCTCTTTTTTCTAGCTACGTCAGGTCTAGTTCTTTCAGTTTTACTTTATACCCCATCTCTCGTAATTCTAGGACGAGCCACGTTACAAACTTTTGAACCTTTTCATGTCTCCTTAAATGTTTTTTTAGGTGGGGCTCCACGATGTGGGGGTATTCTCTAAAACTGACCTCACGTAGACGCTGTACAGCGATTTAAATGCCTCCTTATTTAGGTTCCTGAAAGATGTCGCTATCCCTGAAAATCGTGTATGTCGTTACCATGTTCCCTCTATCTTCTCTAGTGTTGTAGGGTTCAGTTCTCCCAAACTTTTCTCGTAGTTCAACCGCTTCTCTAAGAAGTTTATGGTTTACTGTATGTAGTATACAACCGTTGAAGCCCTTTCTAATGATGGTTATGCTTAACCGGTTCTGCTTATAGGTTCAGCCCTCTCTATGATCGTTATAACTCCCCTCCATACGCTTGTTTGGAAGAAGACTAAATACTTCAGAAACATGTATGGTCCATTCCTTAATTTGCATTATGTGTTTAGATACTGAAGTCATCACAGCTCTGAATATACGTGTTTTGTTATTATGTATTTGTTATCTTTGTTTGCCATATGTTGTCATTTGTTCGCTTCTGGTGGTTGCATATATTGTTTTAAAACTATTGTTATTAATAATCAGTATGGCATTAATTTTACTTGAGGACGCCGGGTACTGACCGCCACCTTGCCGAAGACCTTCTCGTTCTCCCACGTCCAGACGGAGAGTAGGTGCTCCTTGTCGGCGTCCACCGCCAGCAGGAAGTCTCCGTTGTTCTGAACGGCCCGTGTGTCAGGGGGAGAGAGAGATGCTGTCGTTAAAAGGTATATAAGAACTGGTGATGTAAACGAGGAAAAAAAAACCTAGATAACTATGTAAAAAGTTAATTGTTCAGTATAAGCACAGAAACAGGTGAATTGTTCGACTAGCTAGTTGAAGGAAAGTGCTTATGATATGAATTAAATACAACCTTAATATTACAACAATTATTACAACCACTGCAACAATTTCCACTATTACTTGTTCCGCTGTTTCTACTTCCACCACAACCACTTCCACTGCTTCTACTTCTCTTATAAGTACTTCTGCTGTATCTACTACTATTCCTGTTTCTTCTACTTCTGCCGCCACCTATACTTCCAGGGACTCGCTCTATAAGAGACTTTAGGGACTCTTCAGAAGGGGGGTCTGGAGAGGTAACCCCATGGAAGGTCGGGGACTCACCCTGGTGGAGAAAGCAACAGCTAGGATGCCCGCCCCGAGTTCCTTCTTGCCCAGGACGTGAAGGGTGGCGAGGGTGCGGGCGTGCCACACCCTGACGTGGGCAGAGGAGCGGTTGCCCCGGGACGCCCGCTGGCCAGAGGCTACCAGGTCCCGCGATGGGTGGAGCGCCATGCTGCGTCAGAGAAAGACCAACGGGTCACATATTAACACACACACACATGGGTCCTGTAGCACAGCAGTCTACGTCCTCGACTCACAACCCAGGGCTCAATTCTCAGGGGAGGACAGAAATGGTAAAACACGTTTTCTTTCACCTGATGCCTCTGTGGCACATGTTCAACATTTCCTACAGTGACGTCGAGGAAACTTATATGATTAAATAAATATGCCAGTGCATAGAAAACGTAGAGGTTTAATGAACTTTCATAAACCGACCAATTTAATTAAAGCTAAGATGTTTTTAAATGTTTAGGTATTACAGCGTATAAGAAAATCACGTATTTTCTGGTAATATTGTTATTATTCTATTGTCCAGACAAATAAAAACTACCAGGCGACAGAAAATGTGATAAAATATTATAGGACTATTGAACATTGTCACAATATTATCCTTTGATTAAATCAAAAGTCTTTCAATGAGTTTGTGGGGGGAGGGGGAGAGTGGTGGGCAATCAATCATTACAACCACAACTGTAATATGCTCCCGTACGCAGGTTCGAATCCTCGTCACGGCCCTTGTGGATTTGTTCGTTTACAACTGTAATAGTTTATATAAATCACCTACGAATACAGCTTCCAAATCTAAATGTAATATCAAAATTAGTCGGTGTTTATTTACACTGAACCGTACTGCAGTTATATTCTAAAATAATATAGCCCAACACAAGAATCATTATTTGATATAGAAATGTTGTATTCCAACGTTAGAGTATAGACAGAGACGGAGTATTGTGCTGTGATACAGGCACCGGGGCGTGACACTTACCACTGAATGTCTTCCGAGTGCTCGGTGTAGTGTCTCTGGACGTCGTCAGTGCGGTCCAGGATGACAGCCACGGCCGCTACATAGTAGAGCAGTTCCCCAGAGGGCAGGACCCACAGGTTCCTCTTGGTGTCGCTGCCCCGGTACCCGTAACTGGTGGTTAGCTCGTTAAGGAGTCGTAAACACCTCTCAGAGACCATTAGCGGCGCGGCCCGTGATGGTAGGACCAGGAACATGATATAAGAGAGCAGGGAGGATATGGTGTGTTGCAAATATTATTTGCCTCAATCCTGCACTGGTGTGGTGAGGACGGAGGCGTGTGCAGGAAGGCGTGGGAAGGGAGGGAAGCGTGGGGAGGGAAGCGTTGGTAGGGAGGCGTGCGGAAGGTGGCGTGCCAGCGGGCATCATGGCCACCACCACACCGGATATGTGACTGCATCATAGATCACACTGCAGACTCCTCTCTCACCTGGACCAGGCGCCACGTGTCCTCACCTGGACTAGGATCCACGTGCCTACAATGACCAGATGTGATCTAATGTTATGACAAATGTTACATGAGAAGGGGGTGGGTGGGGAGTAGAGGGATTGATAGGTGGAGGAGAAGGGTGAGGGGAGTTTTGGGGTGAGGGTAGGGGGGGCTGGGGCTGGTAGGTGAGGGGTGGCAGGAGATTCGTGACACGATATGTCGAGGTGCGTCATACATGTGTCATGGTGACCTTGCTGGTCTTGACCTGACCACATGGAGGCAATTAAGGTGGCAACTAAACACAGCTGTGTAGAGGATATCTTGATGTTCATATAATGTTGTCACGGACATTGCAACATATCTCCCTGCAATGTTTGCAGCATACCGCCATACATTGTTTAAGTAGATCAGGTTCCGGTCAACCTCCCATTATCCCTACCGTTCACCCATCCAACTACTGTCATCATGCAACACACTGGCGGACTGTGGCAACATCAGGCTTTTGAAATGTAGCGAAAATAGGGCAACAGAACACAAGAGGGGAAGCTGGAAACACAGACAAAGTAATGTAAAGAAATACTCGTGGCCCCCTGGACGGGTGGCCTTCTGGACGGGTGTTCAGCGTGGCGGAATGATATATAAGACACAGCCCGCACCACCACCATCACCACTAGGACCACCACCGTCACCACTAGCACCATCACCATCACCACTAGAACCACCACAAAGCTCGTAGCAACAAAAGGATACACCCAGTCGAGCTGCAGCTGTGCCCGAGGAGGAGCCGGCACGTAGGAGACGGGGTTCCTCGGGGCGTGCAGTACCCTCCGCTGGCCCTTGATGGTGACGACGGCAGAGCGTCCGTCCGTCACCTCCTCCGCCTCGCTCTCCTCTCCTGACTCTGCCACACCACACCACTTACATTATTATCCAGCAATAACACTATGATAATGAGAAAATGACTAACAAGAATATCTAAAATATACATAATAATAATAATTTGTTTACACTCGTGTCCTCACGTTATACAGACGTACATAGAGGAAATTGCACATAAAGGAATAAAATGCAATTGTAAACAAGTTAAATCGTGAGGTAATGTAAGGGTAAGATTATAATGGTGCAGCTGTTGGGAGGGTGTGGGGGTGGGTGTGGGTATGGAAGGGTGTGGGGGTGGGTAGGGTGTGGGGTGGGAACTGGAGGAGGCAGCCAGTACAAGTCCAGCACAGCAGGAAGCACACAGGGAACTAGAGCCTACCTGGCTGGCCAATGAGAGGTCAACAAGCTGAGTTAAGGCAACACTCACGTCATCGTGGCAACAGTTAATGGCGACCAATGAAGGACGTCAAAATAGAATGCAGAATTTGTTGAAAGCAAGTTGCCATTGGCAACAGAGAAGAAACTGAACATTGCTAATGTTTTATGAATTTATAATACAACTGCGACTACAAAATATGTATGCTAATATATAAATCTATCTTGTATACTAATATACAAATATTTCGATTAAATAGTTGCAAGCAAATGATCTACACTCACACGATCTGTGTGAAATTTCAGTGTCATCTATATTTGTCAAGTGTGGAAACGGCTGTCAAGTGGCCTAAAGCAGTGTAATCATAGCATTTCTAATCTATTGATTTTCTTATTTTAATATTCTTTGTAAGTTGGCAATATTTGTGATAGCCAATTTAGGCCAATATCGGCTTATTGCTTTGATTATGCTACCTGATTCCCTTCAGACTTGCCCTCATGACAGTTCTAAAAGCATGTAATGAATCCTTCCAGGGAATCCTAAGGAATCCTTCCAGGAATCCTCCAAGAGAATCCTTGCAGAGAATCAGTTTCATGAGTTTGGAGTCACATTTCTTTGGTAGGACGAATAAGGATTCCTATATCAAGTACCACTGATGCAGGCATGTGTTAGGTAGCTGGAAAAGACGATTTCCTGGAAGGTAAAAGTCAACCTGTTGAGCCTTGCTCGGGAAGCCAACAGTAAGCCCGTCAACGGCGCACTAAGTCACAAACAACAGAGAGTAATAATAGTTAAGTGGGGGTTAGAAATTGATGGTGTTTAGAAAGGTAAAGTGTCGTTACTCCGTAGAGGAGTTCACTCACCTGGAATGTCTGGATACGCTGCTCCAAGTCCACAGGCGAGGCACCAGGAGCAATGATTAAAACTTTTGATATCAAGGTTATGTTATCTCAGTCCGGGTATAATGTGTGTGTGTGTGTGTGTGTGTGTGTGTGTGTGTGTGTGTGTGTGTGTGTGTGTGTGTGTGTGTCTTAGACTCAACGTGACCCCAATTAACACTTAAATTAGAATGTTTACTAATTTCAACTGGTGGTATTGAAGCATAAAGTGACACTCAAGCAACAGGTGGCACTCAAGCAACGGCTGATTACTCAAGTGACTGCTGATGCTCAACTGAGCAGAGATTCCAAGTTACAGGTGATACTTAAGTTACAGTTGACAATTAAGATACAGTTGGTATTTAACTTAGAGGGGGCGCTCAAGAAACAAAGGGCACTTAAGTAACAAAACACACTAACCAGAGAGACACTTAAAATGTAAAAGTCACTCTAGAGGTGGCATTCAAGAATGAGGTGGTGCTCAAGTTAGTGTAAACACTCAGGCAATAGATGGCTCTCAAGTAACAAGACACGGATTACAGGTGTCCCTTGAGCATCAACCGACGCTTGTAAAAAAAAAAGAAACGGATTACAGGTGTCACTTTAAGCATCAACCAACGCTTGAGCGTCGGTTGATGCTTGAGAAGGTACTCACCCTTGAGCGTGGGCTCGCTCGTGTACCGTCTGAGGGGAGGTCGTTTAGCAGTCTTAGTTGTTCGACGGTCCGCTCTGTGAAGGCAAGGAGAGAGGAGGTGAGGACAGGTGAGGGCAGGAGGGCAGGTGGGGAGGTGAGGGCAGGTGGGGAGAGGGGAGATATAAGTCAGGTAAGGAAAGAGATGAGGGGAGACGAGAGATGAAGGTGACGAAAGAGAGACGAGAGATAATGGCAAAAAAAAAAAGAGGGGAGTTGAGAGGAGGAAGAGAAGAAGAGCGAAGTGATAAGGGGTTTGAGGGGAAACTGATAGATATTATGATAAAGAAAAGCGGCGAATAAGAATGATAAAACGGAAGAACATAATCATCCCGAAACAACAGTAGGCCTACTGTTGTTTCGTTCTACACAAGGCCTTTTAGATCCAGCCATTTTCATTCATGTCTATCTATCATATTTTCAAAACATTAAACTGCGAACCTTTTTCACGCACACTGTCTCAATCACCGTAACCAAAAGGACGTGTCAAAAATGCAAATGGTCTCATCTGAACACACGTTTTGAAAGTCAATATCTCTGAATTTACTAATATTTAAACTATAACCAAGGTCTATGGACTCGGCATAGAATGTTTCACATCTACAAACAGATGTGAAGGCTGGGCATCGGAGCCATGCCTTCACGAGAGGGATAGGGCACTGGGGGGACTCCGACCCCACCTATGTTTAAAATCATCATTAATCCTGCGAAGTTTACGGATGACATTCTACGATACCTGAAGCAAGACATTCTACGATACTTTAAGGAAGACATTTTCCAATACCTTAAGGAAAACAGTCTACAATACGTTAAGGAAGACATTCTACGATACTTTAAGGAAGACAGTCTACAAAACCTTAAGGAAAACATTCTATGATATCTTAAGAAACACCAAACGCCACCGTAGAAAAAATAAAACACAAGGAAAATATATCATTATATCACAAGGAAAACTATAACACTTGTATAACACAAATCAATAAGAAACACAGGAAGCGGGGCAGAGCCGTTCATCAGCGCCTGCAGGTCAAGTAAGCAGGTGCTACAGAGGTGTGTGTGGAGGCCCAGCACGCCCCCGGTAATCGACCCGTATATAAACACACTCCAGGAGGTGGACGGAAATCACATATTATCTGACATTGTTCGTAAAGGAATGTTGTTACCTGGGCAACCGTACACACAGGCAATATCTCTCTGGCAGGCTGCCATACGAGCACAGGCTCTTTATATGGGTTGCCATATGGGCTCAGCTTCGCCATTACAAGGACATATCGGCCTTGAGGGCAAATGCTTGACATGCAAGGACGGATCCTTCATATGGCGGCAATGGCATACTTGAATTGGGCAAAGGCGGCACAGAGAAGACTTGCCATATGGCAACATATGAATTTTCTGGAAACTGCAGAAGATGAGTTGGCTCGTTCGAGGCCACTCCAGTGATGATCATGTCTCCCCCTTGCTTCTTCTCTTACCTTGAGGTGCTACCTTGAGGTGCTTCCAGAGCTTAGCGTCCCCGCGGCCCGGTCGTCGACCAGGCCTCTTAGGAAAGGATTCTCCTTTAATCTTTCCTCGTAACTCATACCTCTCACCTACGGTTCTGGCCTTACATTAACCCGGACGACGAACAGATACGCAAGACGACAAATAAACACATTAAATCTACAATTATTATTAGACAGGTAGAGAGAGAGACGAGACAGGATGCCAGACGGGCCACAGAAAAAACTGTACCTGGCTGTTTTCTTGTCCTCGTCACTGCTGAGGGTCCTCCTGTGGCCCCCACCGGCGGTCTCGGGCGCTACACCGGTGGAAGAAGAGGCGTTGTGCGGCTTGTTGGGGATCCCGGCGTTATTGAGGCTCACGTAGAAGGTGTCCACGTTGGCGAAGTCGTTTTTGAACTGCGAGAAGCTCTTCACCTGTTGATGGAGTGGGAAGATTTGGTCTAGTGGGAGTATCTCACCTTGTTGTATTCACCTGGCTCTGCTTGGGCAGGGGAGGGGGGGGGTGTTTCGGCTCTTTGGTCCCTCCTGTCAACTGTCAATCAAGTGGTGTAAAGGTTGCTGAGCTTCTTTGGGCTCTATTGAGGGTGTTGTGGTAGTGTTGTGGTAGAGTGTTGTAGTGGCGTGTTGTGGTTGGGTATTGTGGGGGTGTTGTGGGGGAGGGCTGCATGACCAAATTCAAGTTGACCTAACTTCCAACAGCACTGACCACAATAGTCCTCCCCACAAGCATAATCCTGCCCACAACAGTTCCCTTGGCCGCCTCTTTAAGCTACCTTGGCCACCTTCTTAAGTTGCCTTGGCCACGTATCTTGCGAAACACTACAATATACTAAACTCTAAGACCCTGCTAGCCACTTACCTCTTGGCCCCAGGTGGTGAAGAGGTGGAGCTGGCCGCTCATCTTGAACATCTTGCCCAGGTCCTTCACCACCTCCTCCCACAGGTTAATCGTCTTCATGTTGACCAACACTGTTCTCTGTGGGGAGAGTATAGCAGGTATGTCAGTGAGGTAGGTGTGGTCGTAAAGCGAGGCAGGTGTGGTCGTAAAGCGAGGCAGGTGTGGTCGTAAAGCGAGGCAGGTGTGGTCGTAAAGCGAGGCAGGTGTGGTCGTAAAGCGAGACAGGTGTAGTCGTAAGATGAGGCAGGTGTGGTCGTAAGGCGAGACAGGTATATTCATAACGTGAGGCAGGTATGAGACTAGTAAAGTGACATTGAGAACTGTAGTTATACAGCTTAAGGAGGACGATTGAAAAACATGCTGGTTGATGTGTGAGGAAGCCAAATGGACGGTGGCAAAGATTGAAAGGTCACAGAGGAACGGTTGCTGCTGACAGAGGCATCAACACATGACTGAAGACAAAGTCAGCAGTACAAAACACAGAGGTCACAAGAAGGCTGGGTGCTTACCTCTTGGTTGTGGTCAATGTTGTTGATGATCTTGATAGTGCGTCCCTCCCTGGAGCCCGGCTTGCTGTTGTTACCGGACTTGCTGCTCTCAGCGGAGCTCTTCTTGGAGACTTCTCTGACGACGGGGGAGCCAGCACGGCCCGGTTCGCCTCCCCCGCCCGTCCCCACCACACTCACTAAGGCGTTCTGGTTCCAATCAGGACGGTGTCGTCCATATGGCAGATTCTTCAAACCAAAGAAGGATGGAGTTAGTAAGAACAATTATGATTGATGCCACATTAAACTCTTCTGATTTGCTTTAAATGAAAATATTCAATAGTTTAGTTCCAAATTTCAAATATTGTATAATACAGCAAGGTTATAAAAATGATTAAATGTATAACCAAAAGACGTGCATGCCGAAAACTGCACGAATAACGGGAGGAGGAAGTTATATCTTGTTAGAAGTTAAAGATAACAAGGTAAGTGTAAGATGACAGGTGTCTCCACTGAGGCTGGGAACACACACACTCTGCCGCTGTGGAATGACACATGACACAGGACGCATGTCTTGAGTGCCAGAGACACTTGGTCTCCTACGCAGACGAGACCAGACCACAACCAATGGTTACAGCAGACACCAGACCACAACCACTGGCTACAGCAGACACCAGACCACAGCCACTGGCTACAGCAGACAGCAGACCACAACCACTGGCTACAGCAGACACCAGACCACAGCCACTGGCTACAGCAGACCACAACCACTGACTACAGCAGTCACCAGACTACAACCACTGGCTACAGCAGACACCAGACCACAACCACTGGCTACAGCAGACACCAGACCACAGCCACTGGCTACAGCAGACAGCAGCCCACAACCACTGACTACAGCAGACACCAGATCACAACCATTGGCTACAGCAGACACCAGACCACAACCACTGACTACAGCAGTCACCAGACCACAGCCCCTGACTACAGCAGACACCAGACGACAACCACTGACTACAGCAGACACAAGACCACAACCACTGGCTACAGCAGACACCAGACCACAGCCACTGGCTACAGCAGACACCAGACGACAACCACTGACAAAAGCAGACAGCAGACCACAACCACTGACTACAGCAGACACCAGACCACAACCATTGGCTACAGCAGACACCAGACCACAGCCACTGGCTACAGCAGACACCAGGCGACAACCACTGACAAAAGCAGACAGCAAACCACAACCACTGACTACAGCAGACACCAGACCACAACCACTGACTACAGCAGACAGCAGACGACAACCACTGACTACAGCAGACACCAGACCACAACCATTGGCTACAGCAGACACCAGACCACAACCACTGACTACAGCAGACACCAGACCACAACCACTGACTACAGCAGACACCAGACCACAACCACTGACTACAGCAGACACCAGACGACAACCACTGACTACAGCAGACATCAGACGACAACCACTGACAAAAGCAGACAGCAGACCACAACCACTGACTACAGCAGACAGCAGACCACAACCATTGGCTACAGCAGACACCAGACCACAACCATTGACTACAGCAGACACCAGACGACAACCACTGACTACAGCAGACACCAGACGACAACCACTGACAAAAGCAGACACCAGACCACAACCATTGGCTACAGCAGAGATCAGACCACAACCACTGACTACAGCAGACACCAGACCACAACCACTGACTACAGCAGACACCAGACCACAACCACTGACTACAGCAGACAGCAGACCACAACCACTGACTACAGCAGTCACCAGACCACAGCCCCTGACTACAGCAGACACCAGACCACAACCACTGACTACAGCAGACATCAGACCACAACCACTGACTACAGCAGTCACCAGACCACAGCCCCTGACTACAGCAGACACCAGACGACAACCACTGACTACAGCAGACACCAGACCACAACCACTGACTACAGCAGACAGCAGACCACAACTACTGACTACAGCAGTCACCAGACCACAGCCCCTGACTACAGCAGACACCAGACGACAACCACTGACTACAGCAGACACCAGACCACAGCCACTGGCTACAGCAGACACCAGACCACAACAACTGGCTACAGCAGACACCAGACCACAACAACTGGCTACAGCAGACACCGATACTATCCACCACAGACGCGTTAAGTAACACTTACAAGCGATTTAAGTGTTAAAGTTATTATGAGGTGGTGCGCCTGGCACTCCCACCTCACTACCACAGCACGACACAGCTTAATGCAGTGAAATACACTGTGACATAGTTTGAGACAATGTTACACAGTGACAACTTGACAGTGCAACAAAGCGTGACACAGTCTGACACAGTGAGACATAGCGTGACACAGTGTGACATAGCGTGGCACAGTCTGACACAGTGTGACATAGCGTGACACAAGATGACACAGTGTGACATAGCGTGACACAAGATGACACAGTGTGACATAGCGTGACCCAGTCTGACACCGTGTGACACAAATTCATACTCTGAGAAGCTGTAAGAACGCAAAACAGTGGTCGAGGTTTTTCAGGGACTGGTGACTTCAAAGGAGGAGAAAAAACGTTAACAAATGAACGGGCTAATTACGTTACCAGGTGAGATATTGATCAGGTGAGGATGGAAGCAACGTTGGAATGACTGCAGGAGGTGGTGGAGGACACAGCCAAACCCCGGCACTTCCCTGAGGCCAAACGACGACTAAATCTAATTATACCTTCGGTGTCCAAACAAATCTTAATTAATCCATGTCATGACAGTATCTTTTTGTCTACAACGTAGAATGTAGTTTGTTAACAGAGGTATTGTTATCTACATCTGGGTGGTACATAGGGTGTATGTAGCGTGGTGGCGGCCGCGTGTCCTGTCTATAAGCTGGCTTCTCACTGGACACGCAAGACTCCGGCCGCGCTAAATGGCGTAGTTGGGGCTGTCAGTGTGGCGGGTCAGGGTAGTTAAGTGCCTTAGGGCTCAAGAGCCAGGAGCCACACAGATCTCTTGCTTCTAGCAAAAAAGGGGGAGGAATTCAACGGACGCATCTGATAGCCTAGATGGATTTAATAAAATCACTTGGGCCAATCAAAGGAGTTCTAGAAGGCTTTGCCAATCATGGAGTCCCAGCTTTGTGTCTCAGCCAATGGGAGGAAGGCTTGACAGAGCAGGGGAGGGAGCTGCCAGTTGCAGCTGGAGTCAAGGAGTCAAGCACCGCCTGATGCGTCATATTCAACTACACTTCGCTTAGAGGTGAAGAAGTAGGTCAGAAAAAGGCGTAAATAATGCCTCTCTGCACTGGGCTCTGAGGTAGTGATAGGTACCCATACATGGGCTACGGGCTGGGGAGGTCTTGGTTAAAAGAACATGTAATCTCTGCCGTGCCAGAGTGACAGGAGAGTAACAAAAATGCCAAGTCTCCGCGTGAAGCTGTGTGTGGGAGGCTGAATCAGCCAGGCCGTGAAGCTGTGTGTGGAAGGCTGAATCAGCCAGGCCGTGAAGCCGTGTGTGGGAGGCTGAATCAGCCAGGCCGTGAAGCTGTGTGTGGGAGGCTGAATCAGCCAGGCCGTGAAGCTGTGTGTGCGAGGCTGAATCAGCCAGGCCGTGAAGCTGTGTGTGGGAGGCTGAATCAGCCAAGCCGTGACAACCATGAAGAAAGAGTCATGAACATCCAGATGTTCAAACTTGGCGTCAGAAACAGAGTGATAGTTATCCGGAATATTTGGGTATCAATTACTGGGCTTAACGACACTTTGTTGAACTCCCTGAACTATCGTTGATCAATCAAACAGCGGCCATTTTTTGTATTACGACCCAGAAGCATCAGGGTGGTGACCAGAGGCATCAGGGTCGTGACTATCACGTTGAAAACCATCCACAAGGGAGAGACGAGCCGCTGTGAGTGGCGGATATGTTGCAACTCAGACAAAAACAATTCCTTCGACCAATTGTAAGTTTTCACTGTGACTGTTGCATCCTGGAATGTAGAAAGTACGAGTCTTTCAAATGGTAAAATACCCTAAACAGAGAGGCGACTGGTAAACCCACATTGGTACTCCCTGCCAGCAATATTAGCCAGGAGTAAACCCCGTCTGGTCAACAACGCCGGTAAACTAGCAGCTAAAACTTTACAAAACACTTCCCACTGAGCAGGTAAGTTGTACCAATGACCTGGAAGACATAAGGAAAATTAGCACCTGAACACAGGCCAGAGAAATCAGTAAAGCCACACACAGTGAAGCCACACACACAGTAAAACCACTAATATTGCAACAGAAAAGCCAGCCCGATTGTTAAGGCTTATTTGGCAGCCAAGGAAGTCTCAAAATTAAGCAGTATGACTAATTAGGTAAAGCACCCCCCCCCCCCCCCCGTATAAGCCACTAAGCCCCTTTACACACCACTTTGTACCTTAATATTCCACTCTAAGATTAAGTGCGGAAAGCCAGCATTGCCTTAAACTTACGCAGGAGTTTAAGGCAGATGTGTGAGGTTAAGGCAGGTATATGAGATTAAAGCAGGTATATGAGGTTAAAGTAGGTGTGTAAGCTGAAGGCAGGTATGTATGAGGTTATGGCAGGGGTGAAGGATATAGCAGGTGTGTAAGGTTAAAGCAGGTATGTGAGGTTAAGGCAGATAAGTGAGGTCAAGACACGTGCCATATATATATGTCAAAAACGAAAATTAGGATGACGAACAAGCCGGATGAGTCATGTGTGAATCAAACAGGTGTGACACACACACAGGGTGTAAGATACACAGGTGAGACATATGTGAGAGATATACAGGTGAACTTAAGGGATAAGACACACAGGCGAACCATTTACGACAAGATCACTCGGATGAGAAACAGAGGTGAAGCTGACAGATGAGACATTGTCACCTCTCACGGATAAGCCACATTGTCACCTCTCACGGATAAGCCACATTGTCAACATTCACAGGTAAGCCGCACTCTCAATCCTCACAGGTAAGCCGCACTGTCAACATTCACTGGTAAGCCACACTATCAGTCCACACAGACAAGCCATACGAGTAAGCCACACTACCGGTTGGGCGTGGACAGGGCTGGAGCTGCCGGACTGCTGGGCCCACTTCTCGGGTTTACTGAGTAGGCCGTACGGGAGAGTCTGGGAGGCGAGGAGCAGGCCAGGTGAGCAGGAGCAGGTGGAGGAGCAGGGAGCAGGAGGTGGTCAGGGAGCAGGAACAGGGGGCAGGAGGAGCAGGATTGGGAGGAGGTCCGGGGAGCAGGATTAGGAGGAGGATCAGGGGGAAAAAAGAGACAGTAGTGGAAGAGGAGACAAAAAAGTAATATAGGGATGGGAAGCAAAATGATTTAATGAACGAGGAGAAAGAGAAGTGAAGAGACATAAGGAAAATTATGGAAAATAAACAAGAAAGAGAAGGAAGTCTCTCATAGACTCTTTATATATTAAAATTTAGATTTTCTTCACAATATAAACAATAAAACAAATACAATTAATAAACTCTTGAATGTTTTAAATAATAATAATTTGCAAACTTAACATAAATTAATAAACATTTGATTCTTTCAGTGAACATTGAGCAGTAAACTGCACACCTATTTAAGACTGATGTGAAGGTGTGCATGACTAAAAAATAGGTAACAAGTCGAATGTGAAACATAACTGCAAATGACGTCTTGCGCAGTGGAAGGGTTAAGCGACTATGCAGTGCTAACAATGCACATGACTAAAATCTATTCTCCTACAGTGAATGAACAATGGTCCAATAAGAGAGCATAATGGTGTTTACACGTAGACAAGTTACGTAGCCCGTATAAGAGAGCATCGCTACATTCAAGCAGCTACAACTGCTGCACAATTATTATTGTCTAAAAGAAAAGCATAATCATTGGAAGGCAAGACGCACCATTTAACAGGATTGAACACTAAATAAATCATTCATCAAGCACGTTGGAACGAGGACTATAGAGGCCAGCAGGACGAGGTATCCAGGCTGGGGTAAAGTCACTCACTTACCACAAATTTCCTGTCGGAGGCCGCGACGTACGACTCCCCGTCCTCCAGCTCCTCGATCCTGTACCGTCGACGACCGTCCAACCCGAAGACGTAGCGCGCCCCGTTGATCAGTCCTGCCGGAGGAGCGGGAGCACACGAGCGTCAGGCAATGATACTAGGATCAGAGGGGAAGGTCAAGGGAGGAGACGAGGATCAGGGGAAGGTCAAGGGAGGAGACGAGGATCAGGGGGAAGGATTGTGTACCATTACAGGGTACTTCCAGGGGTACCTATACCCTGGAAGTACCAGGGTATACACAAGGTACACCTCCCCTGACTGTGGGCCAGAGATGAACGCCGGGCACACGCCAATCTCCACACAATCATCAAAAGCAGAGTTTGAGAAAAAAAGTAACGATGGCACCTATTATGCCAATGTTCCCAGGTGGTGGTGGTGTTGTGACGCAAGTGACGATGTTGTGACGTGGGTAACGGCGTTGTAACGCAAGTGGCGGTAATTAGGCAGCAGGTGTTAAAGCAGCAAATGGCTACCCCAACCAGTTGTATATAAAACAGACAAATTACCTCGGTTCACAGGTAATGAAAGACCTCAATTCGGGGACGAGGCGCACAGGGACCCAACCTCCCCTTAGAGACGGGAGCAAAGTCAGTTTGAGCGAGGGAAACATGGCACTAACCCCTCGCTAGTTTTTTGGGGGACAGCAATTACCAGGACGTTGGATATTTTTGAGCGAGAGACATTACTATCATAAAACCTTTGTCAGTTTTTTTGGGAGAAGACCAATGCACCCCTCTGTAGTTTTTTGGGGTGGCCGGAAGCCAGGCACACGACTAGTTAGCATGAAAGACACATTAAGGACAGAAGACACGAAGTGTCCAGAAGCGTGCGTGACATCAGGTCATTCCTACACACACACACTTGTGCGGAGCTGCGGCCTCAGTACAGCACAGCTCGTCGTGTCCGACCAATATGAAGCCCCACCAGTGTGAAGAGTACTGGTGGTGGTGGGGGGGGGGGGGGGGAGTGCGCGGGGCGCTGGTGGCGGATACTGGAGCCTGGCTTCCAGCTATTGTCCTGGTTGTTGTTGTCTCTAATGTACTGTACGATGATTGTACGATGGATTGTACGATGAGTGCCAGAGTGTGTGTGTACTCTCCTGTGTGTACATGCACTCACAGCAGGCCAGGGTGTACATGCACTGAAGTTTTGAGAAGGCACTCAAATATTCTCAAAACTAAAAATTTTGAGAATATTTAAGTTAAACCAAACAGAAATATTCAAAAGCCTAGTATAACACATACATATATATATATATATATATATATATATATATATATATATATATATATATATATATATATATATATATATATATATATATATATATATATATATATATATATATATATTACATTAGGCCTCAGATAGCAGGTATTAAGCCTAGGATGGTTAAGTTATATTAGCAAAATATACACAAAATCTTTAACGGTTTGTCCAATTTCATTAGTACCAAACTCTATACTTTCTAACTGTCCATTACGTCAAAATGTGTACGATGGACCACGTCGTTACTGTAAGTACTGTCTAAATAGGAGGACGGGCTGGCTCATTTGTACTCACCTAATTGTACTCACCTAATTGTGCTTGCAGGGGTTGAGCTTTGGCTCTTTGGTCCCGCCTCTCAACTGTCAATCAACTGGTGTACAGATTCCTGAGCCTACTGGGCTCTATCATATCTACATTTGAAACTGTGTATGGAGTCAGCCTCCACCACATCACTGCCTAATGCATTCCATTTATTAACTACTCTGACACTGAAAAAATTCTTTCTAACGTCTCTGTGGCTCATCTGGGTACTAAGTTTCCACCTGTGTCCCCCTTGTGTTCGTGTGGGTGTGTTTCTTGGGCCCCGCCTCCCTCTCAGTCTATAGACCATAGTCTATTTTCGTCCTTGGGGGTGCCTTAGACTGGGACCGGCGCTGGTGTTGCGTGTTCTAGGAAACACCTGCCGTTAGCCGAGCGTAATGTGCAGAATGATTCCTTCTTTAAGTTTCGAAATGACATTCCGAAGTTTGTACATTTTTTTCACATTCTGTTAAAGTTTTGTATTTATATATGTTGGTCTGGTGTTAATGTTGACGTGATGTCTGCCACCAAGTCCTTCATTGTACTCTTCATGTAGCCTTCCTTTTATTATGTATTATGTCTCTGTTTATATATATATATATATATATATATAATATATATATATATATATATTTCAATTTTTCGCAGTAATTCTGTTGTCTATGTACCCAACTTGGGTGGGTTGGGGTTGGCATCATTGAAACAAGTACCACGTGACATGGTGCCAAAGCGAACCCTACTAATCTACACACACTTTGAAAAAAAAACTCTATACACAGATCTTGAGAGAAATTTACAATAATTTTCAATTCATCATACTTTATCCATAGCAAAGTGTCTACGTGCATCTCTGTCTATATTCCTCTCCCTCTCCCTCTCTGTCTGTCTGTCTGTCTGTCTGTCTGTCTGTCTCTCTCTCTCTCTCTCTCTCTCTCTCTCTCTCTCTCTCTCTCTCTCTCTCTCTCTCTCTCTCTAACAAATTAAATAAATTACAATGTTTCTACCCCTGTGCTAGTAAATGTATTCATGTATGATATGTGTAGTATAATTATCGACCTCTGGAAGAAAATCTAGGCTAAACAGGAACATGGTGTGACCTCTACATTGATGGTGATTACATATACTGAATAGCAGATGATTTCTATGTGGCATAATATACATTAATATACATCGGCATCAGCCGTGTTAGAAAGCAGGATCATGTTTCTAGCAGTCTTCCCCTGCGTGATTAGCGACAACTATAAATATCGTGACTACAATTGGTCATTTGTTGGAAAACTTATTTTAAAGTGATTACAGCGCAGACTGCACCACGAGAGTGAGCCACATGCAGGTGTGTGGAACACAGGAATGGACTTAACCTTAATTTGTATCTACATCAATATCTAATTATTTGAATATACTGTTGGTGCTATATAGGGGGGTACCACCACTGGTGCAATTATAGGGACCCACAGACTCAGAGAAGGGAACACAGAGCATTCAGGGAAAAACTTGCCATTTAACTCTGAATACGAAAGAGTGTTCGCTTCTCCTACCACCCCCCTTTTTTTTATTATGGTGTACACTTTATTATGCAAGGTTATACAATTAGTGTTATATATATATACTGTTATATATCCTGTTAGTGAGCAAGAGTGCTCGTCTTACTCAGTGTCCACGAGTGTGGAGGAGCATTCTCGGGACCACGAAACTAGACATAACTCAAGTGTTTAAACCTGGATTTAGTACCAGCATGTCCGACCCAGTTCTTCAGGGTTTGTATAAGTGTCACTTGGGAACCAAGGGCAAACACGACCTAGACGAGCGTGATCAATACTGTGCTTAAACTTTCGCTTGTTTTTTTCCCTAAACACTTACACGCGCAAACACACACACACACACACACACACACACACACACACACACACACACACACACACACACACACACACACACACACACACACACACACACAGGTTGTGGAAGCAAATACTATTCATAATTTTAAAACCAGGTATGATAGGGAAATGGGACAGGAGTCATTGCTGTAAACAACCGATGCTCGAAAGGCAGGATCCAAGAGTCAATGCTCGATCCTGCAGACACAACTAGGTGAGTACAACTAGGTGAGTACACACACACACACACACACACACACACACACACACACACACACACACACACACACACACACACACACACACACACACACACACACACAAGAAGAGTATCAGAAAGAAACTACCAAAATATTACTTCTTAAGGAAAGAAACAACCTTCTACATAATCAAATAAGAAGGAAAGTGACGTTGAAGAACAAAGTGATGAGAACTCGCATCACTTGATGTCACTAAAGCTATTATGCCAGACAATTATCACCATGGATCATTTAGGATTCAATTAAGTTTATGTAGTGAACTCTTGGGACATACAGTGTATGTCTCAAGAGAGATTACTAGACAAAAACCGAGCGACAAGCAGGAGTAGAAGAGCACTGACTTAGGTAAGGTATGACCTGACAGACAGGCATGTCTCTCCCCCCCCTCACTGTCAGTCACAGTGAAGGGGGAAGAGACTGTCTAAGGGTAACAAGCAGAGTACCTCAAGGATCGGTGCTGGGGCCCATACTATTTCTCATTTATGTTAGTGACCAATCAACAGGAGGTGAGTCTCATGTGTCGATGTTTGTAGACGACGCAAAATTATTGCGAGTTGTGACAAATGAGGATTATAAGATTCTCCGAGATGACTTAAACAAGCCGCTCAATTGTTTCCAGAAATCGAAACAGGATTTCAACGCAGGATTCAACACACAACAATCGAAACAGGATTTAAGGTGATGGAAATGGGAACAGGTGACAGACCAACATGATGATACACAGTGAAGAGAAGCCATCTCCCGATAACGATTAGAAAAAAAAAATCTTGAAGTGGAGATAACACCAAGCCTAACTCCGGAGGCTAAATAAGATAACGTCAGCAACATACTCAACACCAGCAAACGTCAGAACATCCTTTAGGAACCTAAATAAGAAGGCATTTAGATAGCTGTTCACGACCTACGTGAGACCAATTTTAGAGTATGCCGCCCCATCGTGGAACCCTAAGAAAACACTAAAAAAAAAAAACTCGTAAAGGCTCAAAAGTTTGCAACGAGGCTCGTCCTCGAATTGCGATGGATGGGATATGAAGAAAGACTGAAGGAATTACACCTGATGATGCAAAAACGAGGAGAGAGAGAGACATAATAGAGACGTATAAAATACTAAGGCAGATTGACAGACTGGAGAAAGAGAAAAATTCGCAATTAATATCAATAGAACAAGAGGACATGGAAGGAAGCTTAGGAAACAGATGAGCCAAAGAGATGTTAGACACTTTTCTTTTAGCGTAACAGTGAAAAATAATAATGAATTAAAATATCAGGTAACAGAAGCGATAATAAGGTTTCAACATTCATAATTTTTAAAAGTTGCTGTGATGGGGGAATTATGTCTAGTCATTACATTAGACAACCGCCGGCTAGAAAGGCGGGGTCCAAGAGCTAAAGCTCTATCCTACAAGTACAAATAGGCGAGTACACACCATCAGTTCTGACAAGCATTAAATTTTAACTTGTTTAAACTCACCAGAGCTGCGAGACCCCACCAGAACCCTTGCTACACCCAGGCCTTTACTACACCCAGGCCCTCACTACACCCAGGCCCTCACTACACCCAGGCCCTCACTACACCCAGGCCCTCACTACACCCAGGCCCTCACTACACCCAGCCCCTCACTACACCCAGGCCCTCACTACACCCAGGTCCTCACTATACCCAGGCCCCTCACTACACCCAGGCCTTTACTACACCCAGGCCCTCACTACACCCAGGCCCTCACTACACCCAGGCCTTTACTACACCCAGGCCCTCACTACACCCAGGCCCCTCACTATACCCAGGCCCTCACTACACCCAGGCCCCTCACAACACCCAGGCCCTCACTACACCCAGGCCCCTCGCTACACCCAGGCCTTCGCTACACCCAGGCCCTCACTATAGCCAGGCTCCGTCTCAGGCGTGGGGGAAGGCGGCTAACAATACCCACTCTCTAAGAAGCTGCTCACATTCCTAAACTATAACTACCCAGTAATTAGCCAATCATTTCGCGAGTTGGCTAATAAGAAAGGGAAGTTCGTCGAGACTATTATCTCACAATCAATTCCTCTCCCCCATTGCCAGTACGGGTGGAGCAGAGGGCCGACCCGTCCCCCGACCACCCGTCCACCTGTCGACCCGTTCCCCGTCGACCCGTCCCCCGTCGACCCGTCCCCCGTCGACCCGTCCCCCGTCGACCCGCCTCTACTTCTATCCTGGCTCAGTCCTCCAGCGGTTCCACAACCACTATATCCTGTACGTCTTTCCTCAGTCATCGCGTCATCTTATGAACTCCGAAGCACCACGAGGTTGTCTATAACAATGATAACCTTTAGTTGTGAAGTTTCTAAGCTCGCTATAACTGTTTAATAAATGTAAACACAGCCTTCATGACGGAGGAAAGATGTACAGGTTTCGCAGGTGGGTGTGTAAATGGTTTATGAGTGTTGGACCAGGTGTTTCAAGCATTAGGCAGTGATATGGGATACGAGGTCATTCAGTAGACCCTGGCAAGGTGTCAGTAGATATCTTGGCAGTAGATGACAAGTAGACCCGTGCATGTCACCTTCCACAGTGACATGCACGGGGCAAGGAGCTGCTCAGTGACTTTGAAGAACTTGACATTTGAAGAGACCCGTAGAAAGAATAATAAGAAATAATGTATAATTGACAGGAAGAAAGTTAGCTTATATGGAGTAAAATTAAGGTGTGGAACATTTTCATGGGAGGGATCCAGTGTGGAACAATCGCAGAAAGTGCCTCCCATGGTACCGTCTTAGACCCATGGTCGAGAACAGTCTACCAAGGAAGCGCCCCCATGGTAGTGTCCAGGGTCTATGATGTTGAACAATTACAAGGAAGTTACCCCATCCCCTGGTAGTGTCCTGAGCCCTTGGTGTGGGGAAAATTGCAAAGAGTTCCCCATGGTAATGTTTTGGGAAAATATTGTTCACAATACTTGTGTACATAAAATATTTTGACGTTGGTATGAAGAACTTTTCAGACGAGACTAAAATCGCTCGATCAGAAGGGATGTAAACAACACCTAGGTTCCAATAGTGAAGATCAAGCGAGACATTTCGAACATTCTCATGTAAACAAACCCCATTTCCACCAGCTGGACAGCCCGTCCTCCAAACAAAGATCCAAAAGTGATTCCATGCACCCACCAAACCCCCTGTTTATGAATGAAAAGCGGTTTACACACGACTCACAACTGCTGACGTTCGAACATATCCGGAACAAGTGCTTCACTGACGAATTTTGTTCGAATCACAACGCTATAAATGCTTCACCCACGTACTACAAATACAAATAATCGCCAACAGAACCTAAACACCTAACCGAACCAATCCTATGCCTATATATACACAATATGCTAATATATTATAATATAAATTTATACTTGAGAAAATTCCCGTTTTGAATGAACAGCATGTTAAAATTTATGAATGCGTCTGTGAGGTTGACCGCTGGATGTAATGGACTTGAGTCGAGGACGGGTTGAGCTGAAACACTCAGCCCAATCTTCCAGCTCCAGTTATCCATTCTACTCACATTCTTCACTTGTTAGACAATGTAATTAGTGGCAACAGAATAGATAATAAGTATAATTCAGAATGTCGAAGACCCACCTATTCTGTCGGAGATCTTGTCGCAGAGGGCCTCCATGTTGACCACGTCGCGTCCGGGCTTGAAGACGAACTCGTACCCGGGATAATACCTGTCCCCGTTCCTGTAGAAGCGCACCTTCCGGGCCCTATACCTGTCGTACGGGGGCAGCTTGGGCCTGTGGGAGGAGGGAAGCAGGAGATGAGAGAGAGGGGGAGAGAGGGAGAGACAGACAGAGAGAATGAGAGAAGATGTGAAGGGAGGCATCGAGAAGGTAGTAAGGGTGAGAGGAGAAGATGGTGAGAGAGGAAAGAAGGACAGGATTGTGAGATGAAGAAGAAGCGCTGCACAGAAACAATTACTAATTACATTGAGGAAGAGGGGGGAGAAAGTTAAGAATATAGGGGAGAGAGAGACAATGTGATTAAAAACAATGAGAATACGGACAGGACGGAGGAGATAATGCCAGCAATATGAGGAGGACAGAAGGACAAAAGAATAATGAGTCGAGAGAAGGAAGGTAAGAATAATGAGAGTCTACAGGGGGGGTAAGAATATTAGGAAAGAGGAGAAGAAGGGTAATAACAATACGGGAGAAAAGGAAAGAATAACAAGGCTACGAGGAGACAGGCAAGCAAAATAAAACAACGGAAGAGGAATGAGCCTAATTCCAATTGGAAACAAAATTATCAATAAAGAAAGATAAAGAGAGAGCAAGAATAATGAGGAAGAATGTAAGAATACCTAACAAGAATACAAGGACAAAGATAATGCAGGAGAAAGAAGGAAAGAATATTGTGGGAAAGTGAAATGGAACACATGCAATGGAAAGGAAAAATAGGAGCGAATCAAAGGGGAGGGGGAAGGGGGGAATGATGGACGGACTGACGTATTATGGATGGACAGACACGAGAGATACAGACGTATATACAGAAGGAGCAGACAGACAGGGCTATATACAGATGACAATACAGAAACAATTTCGAAAAAGCAGATATAATTGCTGGACTGATCGACGTATACAAGATATTTATGGACGGGTGGACCGGTATATTTTAGGACAGGAACGCAGACGGGTAAAGCGGCAAGGGATAAAAATCTAGGCTGCTGATACGAATGAATGAAAACTGACAGATTAGTGTCACAACACAGGACGTATAGACAGACAGGCGTACTTGCAAACAGGTGACTGTACACGCCCAGGAATGGTGTGATAAATGAACAGGTGAATGACTCGTGGACAGGAGAGACGGTTATGAATTAAGGAAAATGACAGGTACGTAAACATATATCTTAAGTTAGAAAGAGAAGGTCGAAGTAGTACAGCGGTTAGGGGTTACAGCCGTGATTAACGCTGACCAAATTAGACCACCTTCCCCCTCATATTACAGCTAGGTTATGACCCCTCGAGTGGTACCCTCAGAGGTGGAGGGGAGGCCAGTACGAGGAGACGTGGCTGAGGCACTTACATGGGCGAGCAACAGGTACTTACTTGGGAGGGCAAGAACTACTAGCATGGGAGGAAAGCAAGTACTTACATGTGAAGAGGGAACAGGTACTTACATGGGAGAGCAACAGGTACTTACATGGGAGATCAACAGGTACTTACATGGGAGATCAACAGGTACTTACATGGGAGATCAACAGGTACTTACATGGGAGATCAACAGGTACTTACATGGGAGATCAACAGGTACTTACATGGGAGATCAACAGGTACTTACATGGGAGATCAACAGGTACTTTCTTGGGAGGGCAAGAACTACTAGCATAGGAGGAAAGCAAGTACTTACATGTAAGGAAGGAACAGGTACTTACCTTAAGAGGGGAAACAGGCATTTACATGAGAAGGAAAAGGGACTTACATGCGAATAAAATAAGCATCTAAATGGTAAGGAAATAGCCACATTAATGAGAATGAAAATGGAGAAAAACCCTTGAAGGTGAAGGGAAGAGAAAACCTGAGAGAGAAGAGGAACATGAGGGGAGGAAGTAGAGAGAGAGAGAGAGAGAGAGAGGGGCACTTGATCAGAAAGAGAAGAGAGGCACTTGAGGAGAACGCGAGAAGCCCCTCTAAAAAGCCACCAAGGTAACAGGCATTAGAGGGAGAAGCAAATTAGGCACTTATGGTGTTGGTGAGGTCCCCCGGGTGCCCCCCAGAACCCGTCTCTCCTCGACCTAAAGCAATAAAGCACGTCCCTCGCCCGAGGCTCAAGTATTAACACGCCCGAGGCTCAAGTATTAACACGCCCGATCCTTTGTTACAAGTTATATCCAGTAATTAGTATTAGTTGATCCGCCCCTGATAAGCTGAACCTTCATGTCTAAGAATATTAGAGAAAGAGGGAAGCGGAGGTAGGGAGGAACGGAAGGGGAGACGGAAAGGGGGAAGGAGAGGAACAGGAAGAGATGAGGGGAAGGGTAGGAAGTGAGGAGAAGATGAAGATTAGAAAAGGTTGCCTTATCGTATTGAGTGATGAAAAAATGAGAATAATGTAAGGAGACGGAAGGAGTAGAACAGTAGGGGAGAGGGGAGGTGTAAGGTAAGGGGGATGAGGGGGAAGAAAGTGTAGAATAAGTGAGAGGAGGAGAGGAGAGAGACCAGGAAGCAGCCGGAAGTAAGGTCCAGTGGGAGCAGTGTTTCAACTCACCAGGAGCATAATTAGCATTGAGTCACATAAAGATGTCATTAAGATAAACACGAGTTCTTCAGTTTGTCTCCTGGGAACCACCTTAACTCTGAATGTGAGTGTTTTACCTGCAATTGCGTGCTTGTGTTGCTCTACCAGGCACGGCTGAGTGTAGGAGGCAAGCAGGCTTGGGTATCTATATCTACATAATAGAATGTTTATTTGTCTGTCCAAAGTAGGAGGCCTGCAGATGCTTGGGGCTACCTCTCACCCCCTCCCCCAACACACACACACACATACACAACCTGGTCCTCGCCAACAATACGTGAGCTACACATGTTCTTCAAGAGTTGAGAACTTGAGAACACACCAACAAGATGTTTGAAAATACTGAGTTATTTCCAAAAATATGTTTGGAAATAAATGCCTACTGACACAGGTGTAAGGGACACCTGACACAATAGCTAAGAGAAACGTTGATACAACGTTAATAACGTAAATTCGACGTTGAATCAACGTTGCCAGCGTACATTCAACATTGATAACGTAAACTCAGCCTTGATTCAACGTTGACAGCGTAAAATCGATGTTGAATTTACGTTAATCTCAGATATTGTGCCTACGGGACGTTCTCTGTTAACCTGGACACACATAGACGCCTATAAAGAGTTATTCCCCCTCTTAGCTCCCCGACCACAGGTGCTACACACCACGAGTCACGGCAAACATTCACAACACAGTGTTTAGGGCGGTTACAAAATGATGCTATACTAACCATATCCGAACTGAGTAACTGTAAAGTTGAAAAAAATATTATGTTTTGTTATACAGAAGCTGTGCTTAAAATTGTCTATAAGTATTATTATTATTTCTACTCTATTAATAATATTACCAAAAACTTATTATTGTGTTAACTATGACATTTGATGCGATATTGTGAAGCTGCAAACCGAGACATCTTACACTGCCTGAGGAGAAGGACTAAGAGAACTCATTTAACAGTGAAGAAAAATGTAGGTCGTTGAAACGAAGTGAAAAACAGAAACAAGAGAATTGGAAAAAGTTCAGATTTAGAGAAGGAAAACCTTCAGTAAACCTGAAACCATTGAAAACAATTGGTTGAGAAGACAAGATGGATATATATATATATATATATATATATATATATATATATATATATATATATATATATATATATATATATATATATATATATATATGACAGTGTCAGACCACGGAGGAAAATTGAAACGGGAATTTCCTTAAGTACTTTCGTATATTAATACATCTTCAGAAGGAGTCACTCCTTCTGATGTATTAATATACGAATGTACTTAAGGAAATTCCTGTTTCAATTTTCCTCCGTGCTCTGACACTGTCACATTTTTAATCACGTGTTTATTTTTCGTGATTTACACACATAATATATAAATATATATATATATATATATATATATATATATATATATATATATATATATATATATATATATATATATATATGTATATATATATATAAGCAAGGTCGCCACAGTAACGGCCGTGCTGGGGGCCTCTGCACCAACAGAGCAACAAACACAACACAAAGACAACAAGAGCAAGGATCAATAGAGCCGCCAATAAGATGGCCATCCTCAAAATTAATTATCAGAGAAAAAAAAAAGAGCGTTGTGAACTAGAGCCTCTGGAGTCCTGGTTGACTATGTGAACAACCTCTACTGTGTCCTGTCTGGTGGAAAGAATTGTCCAGTAGAGGAATTGTCTGTAGAGGAAACTACAGTTAACTAGTGGAACTAAAGCCTCTACGGCCAAATATACAAAGCCGAACTAGAAGCCCTAGAAATTTTGTTTTCACAAATTACCAGCGAATTTCTGTCATTCTGAACTGGAAGATTACAGAGACGCCCGCGCCCTCTATCACCTTGTAATACATTTCACTGAAAAGAAATTTAGTGTGAGGAAAACAATAGAATTAAGTCTCCACGCTGTAGAAGATTTTTGTCACTTGAAGTGCTGTAGAAGGTGACTACAGAAGGTACAGCTGAGCACAGAGGGGTACAGTTCA